TGTATTGGCTTATTAATATATATCATCAATAGCAAAATATTGTTTAAAAAATCAGATGAATAATGTTCTATTTTTGCGGAAATAAATTGCTACAGTAGAATGACATCCAAATATTTACATAACATTATTTATATATACATGTTTGATGATACATGTGATACTCATATCCCTACAGATAGTAAGTTTGCATTGCAAAAGTACCTAATTGCAGCCAATTGAAAGGATTGCAGTTGACTTAAGCTAGACAAATCTTTATTTAACAGTCACTATTTCACCAATGTTAACATACACAGGCTTTTAAAAATAAAATTGTTGAACATACCTAATAAAAGTAATAATACATTGTTTTAGAGCAAAGCCACATTGGGCTATCTAGTAATGGTTGGAGACGGCTTGAATGGGTAATGAAGAAAAAACAGCAAATGTACAATATTTCGACAAGGTTTTGTCATCATCAGGTACAAAACCTTGTCGAAACGTTGTACATTTGCTGTTATGTTAAACTTAAAGTTTTTCTTCATTACCTATTCAAGCCGTCTCCAACCATTATTAGTCTCAAAGTGGGTTCCTCGTCATCGAACATTGGGCTATCTGCTGTGTTAACCGCAGAGTATCGAACCCTGGATCTTAGCTGTCTCACTGGGGATTAATAATAAATAAACAGCAAAAAAGAACAGGGTACACAAACAATTCGATTAAAGAATAATGAATCTTCGAACACACTCCTTGTTATATTAGACAAGGGAACAAACTGAGTGATTCTTGTCGAAAAATCAGATAACAGCTTCACGAAGCCACAGAATTTGCCAACACACGACTTGTTATCTGCTCAAGGTAACAAGTTGATATTGTGGTCCATTGTCTTCTAATGGTCTAAAATTAATTTTCATATTTAAGGCTATGTTTTCATTCAAAACCTCAGCCTTTTATATTCATCAACTACATAAATAGTCAGCAGAGGCTAGGTTGGTTTTTGCTGATATCCTTTGTTCAACTTTCGTGAGAGCTCTTAAAAGTTCTCACGTACAACTATAAGCTCAACCAGAGGGTATTACATGTTTACTTTGGCTTGATTTTAGTGCTTAACTTTCGTTTTCACAAGTTCTATAAAGTACTTGCTTTTAATTTATGTTTGCATTGAGTAAACAGAGTTTGTTAAATAGTGCAACACACCCAACCGGCTTTTACTTTTCAGATAGGGCAAGCTTATGAGAGAGTGAGTTATTTTGTGAATTTGGATTTGACATATTTAGAGTACTAATGTATTGTGACTCCGTTTTGTTTATTATATTTATTAGTATCTTGTTTAATTGACGGGAGAGGAAATGTAACACAACATGACAAGTTTTATATAATTAAAGTCTTTAGTCATTTGTCAGGTTTTGAAGGCCGGATTCTTTACATTAGATGGCTGTGACTTGTTGGCGATAAATTTCAATAATAAACGGTCAGTACACAATAATTTGTTTTAAAATAATATATTCAAAACAAGTTAAACGTATCTACAAAAATTCGTAACACTATTGATTACCGCAGTTGTATCCAGGGCTTTAAATGATTGTCTCTTTTTCTGTCAAAGTCCATACAGATGGGTTTAATTACTTTAGAACACCCTTTGACAATACTTATTATTCTCCTCTACTCTTGTTATTACAATACAAGGGTTTGACACTCACTTTAAAATCTCCACTATAACTGTTGGTTACCACAGTTATATCTAGAGCCTTAAATAATTATCTCCTTTTCGTCAAAGTCCACACAGGTGGGTTCAATTAGCTTAGAACACCCACTGACAGATTATTCTCCTCTATTTTTGTTGTTACAATACAAGCTGTGGAATTCACTTTAGAAACCGCCCACTGCAGGTAAACTTACATTTACTTTCATTTTTGCTAACTTACTTGCTATATACACTGAGTGGTCACAAGTAAATAGACACCTAATTTTTCGTCATTTAACTGATTTATGCTAATTAATTTGTGTTCACAGAGCATTATATAAATGAAAATGATCCGCACACTAATTATCTTGTGCTACAACATGCCTAGAACTCAAGGTTCTCTCGAATTGTCAGATTTTGTTAGAGGAACGATAGTTGGTCAACCATTACGAGGAAGATGACATTATCAGTGAACATCTCAGTTCAGCTAAGAGGAGGAGGAAGACAAAAATACTTATCTGGTCATCTTCTATAAGTCAGATGAGGAAGAGGTGTGATATAGTTCCAGTGGTTGGTTGGGTTACTGATACCAATCTTCTCATCATAATGACTAGGATTAAAACCAGTCTTCAACCAGCTAGGATGGTCACATAGTTGCAAGATTAGCAACTGACATAGCTCAGTTTCTGAGCCCACAGGTGGCAGTATAAGCTATCATGTACTTATTACATGATACAATTATGTTTCATGTATGATTCAAGACGGTCATGTCATCAAATGGCTAAAGGGACATTGTGACCCTTATTTTCCAAGTTATTAAGTGATATTTGCCTTCAGTGATTTTCTACTCACAGGCTCAATAAAATAGTTGTGTAACTGAGAAGCCAACAAATAAAATGGTATTGTAACTATCACTTTCTAAGCCCTCATGTTAACATGAGATACAGTGTATGAACTGCACTAAACAGTTACCACTCAAACAAATTAGGACAGTTGTTTGATCAGGAAATTGATAACTGAAAGGGTGTTGTAGCCCCTTACTTTCCAAATCCCTAAGTGATTTTCCAAGCAAAAATCACCACTTTGCTAGAGTAGTGGAAATTCTTCTTAAAAAACTACAGGATTCTGTGTGTGACTCTTCCATGTGAAACAAGGTAATTGTGTTTTACACAAGCACAAAAAAAGTAGACTGGGTGGCAGTTTCAATGAAACAGGTCTCATTTCATTGAAGTTACCTGTATTTGTTTTGCTGTGAAGATTACAAGCATGAGTGGATCAACTTGTGAAAGGCAATGCAATGATGCAGCAGTTCATGGTTGGTTATTTTTTTAACAGTGATTAGAATCAGTTGTTGACAATTGTATTTAGCCATAGTTGAATTGAAGGTGTATTAAATGTACAAGGTAGTGACAGAATGAATTTTAATTCTGGCATAAGGAATCTTGGTTAAATGGTAGTTTAGTAAAATTTCATCAGTAATTATTTTTGGAAGCTCAGAAAAATTTAGTTGAGTTTCATTGGTCACAGGTGGCAAAACATTATTAGTTCCTAACTATCAATGGATAATTAATGAAAGTAGCCAGTAGGTTACTACGGTAAATAAGTTTTCAATTAATGTATGTACCAATACAATATCATATTCAGGTTTAGACCATCTTTTACCTAAGCTGAAAGAAACTTCAGACTTAACAGCACAATTAAGAATGGTGCTGTTGTAGTCGAAATGGTCATTAATTTCACCCTTCTATAATTAGTGTGGAATACACATTTATACAGGTTTATTATGATACATTTTCTGCATGAAATTAATCAAATTCAAGGTCATAAACATGATGTAAGCATTTTACACAGGCAATGAAAAGTTCTTGATGAAGCTTTACGATTAAGTCTTAAACAGTAGTATAAACATTTTAAGTTTTTACTAGAGTTGTACCTATCATTACAAATATGGAGCAACAGTGAGTTATTGGTATAAAATAATCATATAAACATCTTATTTGTTCACTTGTTTCCCTTTGTTATCTAACTTTAGTTTATTCTTTGTATAACAGTCTTGAACTTGAGATTTGCAGATACCTATAACTTTTCTACAAAATACCAGTATAACTAAATACCAAAGAATTCACAGCAATAAAGTATTGCACTTCATATAGTTAACTACTAGGAAAGCCTTCCATTGACACTGTGAATGATACTTCAATAACCCTGCAAGCCACTTACAACTGATCATCCAGGCTGTGAGTAGAGAACAGTCTCTATGACATTTATATAAAGACAAGCATTTTCTAGACAAATGTTAAGATTTTTGGGTATATAAGCAGTTGAAAATGGTGGTGGAATATAAACAGAAGGAATACATGCCACACTAAAAGAAATAAGCTTTGAAAAAAGAAATGCTAGAAAATCATAAGATGGAACATGAAAATAATAATATACATTTTACATCCAATGAAATGTCCAATACATTTAGTGATTTCTTATAGAATATATAATCAAGAGTGTTAAAAGACCAAACTCAACAAATCAAGTAACTAGAATTGTTAGATGGTCATCA